GCCAGCTCAAGAACTGTACTCCAGGGACGCCTGGGTGGCTCAGTCGGTTAAGCGTCTGCCTTCGGCTCAGGTCATGATCTCAGGGTCTTGGGATCGAGTCCTGCATCGGGCTCCCTGCTCACCAGGGAGTTTGTTCTCCCTCTCCCTCTGTCTCTTCCCCCTGCTCGTGCTCTCTCTCTCAAATAAATAAATAAAATCTTTAAAAAAAAAAAAAAAGAAAGAAATGTACTCCACAACTGGAGTTTGTCTGTGAGTCCTCGCCCTCCTCTGGGCTGGCAGCCCCTGGTAGAGGAATGGTGCTAGTTGTTGATATTAATGGGGACTGTTGGAGGTCAGCCACCTGAGGGGTAATTTCCATAAGCACTGATCTCATCTGCATGATCTCATCTCTGGTTTTACAATAACATACTTGGAACTGCAGTTGTTGACGTGATTTGGGGGCTTGGAGCACATGGTCCTCTCTTTAGAAGCTGGTTCTTCTTTTCCCAGAGACATGTCCTGTAGTGATGGTGGGTCCTGAAAGCTTGCTTGCTTGCTTTCTTTTCCTTTTTTTTTTTTTAAGACTTTATTTATGTGACAGAGACACAGCGAGAGAGGGAACACAAGCAGGGGGTGTGGGAGAGGGAGAAGCAGGCCTCCCATGGAGCAGGGAGCCTGACACGGGGCTCGATCCCAGGACCCCGGGATCATGACCTGAGCCGAAGGCAGACGCTTAATGACCGAGCCACCCAGGCGCCTCCCTGAAAGCTTTCTTTTCTTCTCTCTCCCCTCCCCTCCCCTCCCCTCCCCTCCCCTCCCCTCCCCTCTCCTCTCCTCTCCTCTCCTCTCCTCTCCTCTTCCTCTCCTCTCTCTCCCTCCTCCCCTCCCCCCTCCCCTTCTTTCCCCTCCTCTCCACTCTTCTCTTCTCCTCCCCTCCCCTCCCCTCTCTTCCTGTCCCCTCCTCTCCTCTCTCTCCTGCCTTCCCTTCTCCTCCCCTCCCCTGTCAGATTGAGTTCACAGTTAAACTCTGCTATCTGGTGGATTTAGTCCTGAATTGGAAATTGAAGAAGAATGTCTTGGACTCTTTTGCTAATTTCCTTTGTAAACACTCGAAAGTTTTTCTGCTTCTCTGTGAACCCTGACTGCCTCTGAAAAAGGAAGAGATTGTATGTGTTTTTTCCCAAGATTTATGAAAACTGAAACATGTTGAAGTGAACTAGTGTTAATAATGCCTATTATTTTTTTCTCTTCTTGTTTTCTTTTTTGAATATGTAGAACATTAATATGCTTCCAAAAGCCCAACTTACTCTAAAAGGTATATGTGAAGGGGTATGTCTCCCTCTTGTAACCCTTCTCCCAACCCCTTGTGGATAACTTCATTAGTTTCTAGTTTCTCTCTCTCTCTCTCTGCAGAAATTAACATACGCATATGTATTTTCTTATTTCCTCTTTTTCTTACACAAAAGGTAGAATACTATACATACTATTTTAGACTCTGCCTTTTTCACTTAACAGTGCATCCAGGAAATCACTCTGAGTTCAGAAAGATATTCCTCATTTTTTTTCACAGTTGCATGGTCTCCAGTGTGTGTACGTACTACAGTTTACGTCAACCAATTTCCAATTTGGGGGCATTTAGGTAGTTCCGGTATTTTTGCAATTACAAATAATGTTGCAGTGAATAATCTTATTATCTTCTGCATACATGTTTTTTGTATTGTTGGAGGTATATCTTCAGGGTAGAATCTTAGAAGTGGGATTATTGGATCAAAAAGTGTAGACACTCAGGCACCTGGGTGGCTCAGTTGGTTAAGCGACTGCCTTCGGCTCAGGTCATGATCCTGGAGTCCCGGGATCGAGTCCCGCATCGGGCTCCCTGCTCGGCAGGGAGTCTGCTTCTCCCTCTGACCCTCCTCCCTCTCATGTGCTCTCTCTCATTCTCTCTGTCTCAAATAAATAAATAAAATCTTTAAAAAAAAAAAAAGTGTAGACACTCCCTTCACAGCAGTTGTATCGTTCTGAGTTCCTTCTAGCATTGAACGAGGTATTGGTGTCCTTACAGCCTTCCCAACAGAATGGGTGGTCAGACTTTTGAATCTTGGCTAACAGGATGGGTGAGAAATGGTATCTCAATGTAGTTTTAATTTTCATTTCACTTATTGAAGTGAACATTTTTCCATATATTGAAGTCCATTTCTCTTTGTTTTGTGAAATTCTTCTTGTCTTTTGTCCGTTTTTTTTCTTGTAGGATTTTACTCTTTTTATCTAAACTTATATATAATAATGACTAATAATATATAAATGTATGTATAATTTGTATGTTAATATTAGGGACATTAGCCATTTATCTGTGTGTGGCACATATTTCTTCTGATTCATCATCCTTTAACTTTGCTAATATGTGTTTTGCCATGGAAAAGTTTAAAAGAATTTTTTGTGGCCCTATTTATTACATATTTTCTTAAAAACTGGGTGTTAGAAAGCCTTTTCCCATGCCTGTGGTATGGGGTGATGCCTCTTGTTTATTGAGGGCTTGCCAGGTAAAGGTGCTGCAAGTGACCTTGCACTTGGTGTGTTCTGAGTTCCAGTGTCCTCATCTCTGAAGATGCTGTCTCTAAATAGCATCTACATCCTAGAGTTGTGAGAATTACCTGAGTTCATACCTGAAAGGGCTTTGAACAGTTCCTGACACATAGTCAGTGTTGGATCAAGATCGGATATTTAATTATTGTGCCATAGTATTTCAGTTTTAAACTCTTTTTTTTTTTTTTAAAGATTTTATTTATTTATTCATGAGAGACAGAGAGAGAGAGAGAGGCAGAGGGAGAAGCAGGCTCCCAAGGAGCAGGGAGCCCGATGTGGGACTCGATCCCAGGACCCTGGGATCATGACCTGAGCCGAAGGCAGACGCTTAACCATCTGAGCCACCCAGGCGCCCCAGTATTTCAGTTTTAAATATCAATATTATAACACCATTCTTTAAATTAAAGCAAAATTCTGGCATCACCTAAATGTTGTTTGTATTTCTTTTACTATAGGTCTTAAAGCTCACCATGAAACAGTGTCTTGTTTTTTTACATGCTTTGTCTTATTGTAGCTTAAATCAGATACTCAGATCTGGGACTTCTGGGGAAGGGCTCAAGGAGGAAAGTTTGGGACATGGCAAGAGCAGATTAACTGTAATTTTAAACCATCAATGCTCATGTTTTGTTAGTTAAATATGAATAATTACTTATAGTTATTGATGCTTCTAAAATGTGGTATTCATAAAGTAAACTTTTTTTGTTACTAGAGTTTCCTAGGGATTGAATTCAACATTTTATAAATGCTTATGGTTTCCAGGCTCCATGTAACCGTGCTACAAATTTCATACTGTGTGATGTCCCCTGTCTGTAGTAGAATCCTTTAATTTTCAGGAAGAGTGCTTGGTTCCCAGAGAATCATTGATAATGCCTTCATTTGGAAACATTTTTGGCTCCTGCTTATGCTTGCTATCTAATGATAAATTGTTGCTATTTTTTTTTAAGTGAGAGACTATCAATTTTTTAAGATTTTATTTATTTATTTGTCAGAGAGAGAGAGAGCACAAGCAGGGGGCGGCAGGCAGTGGGAGAGGGAGAAGCAGGCTCCCCGCCGAGCAGGACCCAGGACCCTGGGATCATGACTGGAGCCGAAGGCAGCCCCTTAACTGACTGAGTCACCCAGGCGTCCCAAATTATTGCTATTTTAATTTCATTTTTAGCAGCTTAGTTTGTGGTGGGTTGTTTGGTGAATCTTTTAGTATTTGGCCTATGATTTCTCAGTCATTGGTCTTTGAGACCTGCATTCATTGCTTTGCAAGTATGAAACACCTGACTTATTTGCAGCCATTTATTTGCAAATATGAAACATCTGCTCTTAGTAAAGCAGCTACATGAGCCTTAACCCCATTCTCAATTTACTTCTATAGTGAGACTTCATTACCACTGCTGTCCTTTTTTTTTTTTTTTTTTTTGTGAGAATTTAGAATTGTTGTGGTGGGCAGAGACTGGTTCTTCCTTTGGTTTACCTCAGTTGGCCATGACCAAAAAATTTTAAAGCAGTTGTCTTAGATTATTTAGCAATTTTCCTCTTCTGTTGCTGGCCTGAAAATAGGAAGTATTTTTACTTTTCATTTTAGCCCTAAACTTTAATTATGATACTGTAGATAGTATTTTTCTTAGGTAGCAAACAATTTTAGATGATTAAGCATGGAAACTATTGTAGTCAACATTACAGACTTAAATGAAACTTGGCTTTTAGTTTGCTTACTTTTAAATATTTTATTTATCTATTTATTTATTATTTAGAGCATGAGTTGGGGGAGGGGCATAGGGAGAGAGAATTTTTTTTAAGATTTTATTTTTGAGAGAGAGAGTGAGCGAGCAGGATGGGGGGAGGGTCAGAGGGAGAAGCAGATTCCCCGCTGAGCAGGGAGCCCTGATACAGGACTCGATCCCAGCACTCTGGGATCATGGCCTGAGCTGAGGGCAGATGCTTAACCGACTGAGATACCCAGGCACTCCCCCTGCCTTTTTTTTTTTGGTGCATAAAGGGTGATTTTACTAAAGCACAGAGACAGGACCCATGGGCAGAAAGAGCTGCTGCAGGGAGAGAGAATCTTAAGCAGACTCTGCACTGAGTGTGGAGCCCCACTCAGGGCTTGATCTCACAACCCTGAGATCGTGGCCTGAGGCAAAATCAAGAGTCATACTAGTTTGCTTCCTTTTAACTGGCTAGAACTGCTGTCTCTGTTATAGTATTCTTCTGAATTTAATTTGGGGCTATCACAGTTCTTATTTTACATGTTCTGCTTGAAAAATCTTGATATTTTAAATCTCTCACAGCACTTAATATAGAAAGTATTCAGTATTAGTTGCTGATTTGATATCTTCTCTCCCATTCTTTGTTCATGTTTCCTTACTATGAAGTCATGATTATAAACTTTAATTCATTTCAAGTTGTAATTACATTGATTATCTGTCTACTTTTTTGTTCTTCAGGTTATCAGAGAGAACTTCTCTATCAGAGGGAAGATGGCTCTTTCAGTGCTTTTGGGAATGATGACCCTTCTGGGAGCACTTGGTAAGTGTGTTTTTTTTTTTTTTTTTTTTAAGATTTATTTATTTGAGAGTGTGAGTGCAGGGAAGGGCAGAGGGAGAAAGAGAGAGAAACTTTAGCAGACTCCTCACTGAGCTTGGAGCCTGACTCAGGGCTTGATCTCAAGACCCTGAGATCATGACCTGAGCTGAAACCAAGAGTCAGACGTTTATCCGACTGTGCCACCCAAGGGCTCCCACTTGGCAAGTGTTTTTACTAACAGAACAAATCTGTCATGAATGGGCTCTTACTCAGTCAAAATGGCCATGAAACTGACAGATGTGTCCCTATGTATATAGGCTTGTAGGTTGCTTTTCCTATAGCCGGGCTTTAAAAGACATTTTCCTTTTTAAATATGGTTTTAAAACACTAATAAGTAAAATGTTTTTATTTAGAAAAGATAAGCTATAAATCCTTTTTTGTGGGAAAAGTAGTAAGAATACTTTATGATGATGGTGCAGTTGACAAGAAAAACTGGTTAGAAATACTGAGTGATTGTGACATAGTTTTTGTTTGTTTGTTTGTTTGTTTTAGAGAGAGCACTCGAGCAGGGGAGGACGGTCAGAGGGAGAGGGAGGAGAGTGAATCTTAAGCAGGCTCTACGCCCAGTGTGCTCAGATGGGGCCCGATCTCATGATCCTGAGATTGGGAGTCAGTCGTTTGACTGAGCCACCCAGGCACCCCGACGTAGTTCTTTTCTTAATCATACATGATCAATACAAATTTTGTATTAAAACAGTCAACATAGTTTCTTTAAGGTTATTTTTTTGTGAAAAACAGTGATGGAATTGAGTAATAAGCATCCAGATTTCCTCCAGAATGGACTCTCTGTGTGGCTGATTTTGGATGATTATTTTCTCTCCTTGCACTATTGTCAGTTCTACATTTCACCCAGAAGAAGATTGACTAACTGTAGCAGTCAGGTCAGACAAGGCATGCTGCGGTAACAACCCTCTAGTATCTCAGTAGCTTATTAACAAGAGCTTTGGTCTTGCTCGTGCTGCATTTCCGCTGTTGGTCAGCAGGGGGCTCTGTAGTCTTTGCTCAGCAGCCACTATCTCCCCAGGAGGCTCCAGACTTGTCTCAGTCTGAAAAGAGAAGGCTGGAGTATCCAACACTGGTAATTAGGTGCTTCAGCCTTGGTGCATCATCTCCTCTCACGTTATCGTTATGACAGCTGGTCGCATGGCCGTGCTTAACTTCAAAAGGGCGAAGAAGTGAATTTCTCTGCATACTCAAAGTAGAAGAGGATCAGATATTACTGAATACTAGTAATATTTATCACACCTAAACATTTCATAGGATGAGACATCACTGCTTCCAATTTTCTTTTGGCCGTGTCAGGATAGAGGTCCATAAATAGAAAAGTTTCGGTGTTTTATTGCTTGATGATCTATTCACCTAAATATGTACTGTTCTGTAGCAAGCATTGGCAAACTTTTTCTGTAAAGGCTCAGGTAGTAAATATTTTAGGCATCGCAGGCCACATAGAGTCTCTGTTGCATGTTGTTTCCTCTTTCCTTCTCCCTTCCTTCCTTCCTCCCTTTAGAAACCATTCTCAGGGGGCGCCTGGGTGGCTCAGTTGGTTAAGCGACTGCCTTCGGCTCAGGTCATGATCCTGGAGTCCCGGGATCGAGTCCCGCATCGGGCTCCCTGCTCGGCGGGGGGTCTGCTTCTCCCTCTGCCCTCTTCCCTCTCGTGCTCTCTGTCTCTCATTCTCTCTCTCTCTCAAATAAATAAATAAAATCTTTAAAAAAAAAAAAAAAAGAAACCATTCTCAGGTGGAGTGTGCTGGAAAGGAGACACAGGTAAACAGACCCTGGGCTGGATTTGGCACAAGGACCAGATTTGGCCTGGACAGATTTGGTTTGTAGGCTGTAATTTTCTGACTCCTGTCCTATCGCAGAGAAAATATCCATTTTCTCTAGTTAAAAGTACTACCATTTGATTGTGAACTATATATACTTCATCCATAGCTTTAGGGTTGAGCCAAGTGTGTAATGGGATCTTCCTTGGTAAATACCTAGAACAGTCCGAAGATGATAACCTTGGACAATTTAATTCTCCTGGAGTGTCAAATTCTCAACCTATAAAATAGTGGGGGCGGGACGGGGGCGGATTAGATGATTTCTAAGTTCCTTTCCAAATCTGGTGTTTTGGGAGTTGATGTGGAATTACTTGGCCATATCAAGTGGAAACTGTGTCTAGCAGCTAGGCTGAGATGTTCATGCTGTCTCTTTGTTGCCTTTTTTCCCTTTGTTCCTTCTTCAGTGATTATCCTTTTGTGAATCTTGTGGTGGGGAAAAAATGTTGTTATTGTTGGTGTTTTCTTGCTCAATGTTATTTAAAAGACTTAGAAAGTGTATTTTATGTAATTTTTCTCCTTTTTTCACCTAGGCTGTCAGCTTTTGTTCTAAGATGTTTCCTTGAAGCTGATCCTTACATAGATATTGATCAGAATGTGTTACACAGAACATATACGTGGCTCAAAGGACGTCAGAAATCCAATGGTGAATTTTGGGAGCCAGGAAGAGTGATCCATAGTGAGCTTCAAGGTGGCAATAAAAGTCCAGTAACGCTTACAGCTTATATTGTGACTTCTCTCCTGAGATATAAAAAGTATCAGGTATTTAATCTTTAATTTAATAAATGATAGGTGGGAAATCACGAGGAAGGTAGGTCTTGATGAGTCAAGAATGTGTCTGGAAACCAAAAGAGTTTTGCAATTTTACATCACATTTGAAGTCTGAATTTGGGTACCTTTTTGCTTTGCGTTTGTGGCCATATTCTACAATCTGAGAATTAAAATATGAACCCACTCTTTCAGAATAACTAAGAATGCTTTCTTATATAAATGTTGTACTTGCTATTGGTAAGATAAATCAATACGTATTTTATCATTGGAAAGGTTCATTTCTTAGGGGACAGAAAAGTCTTAAGAATTTGGGAATGCATTCTAGCACATTTAGGTTGTGAAGGATTTTCTTTTTAATTTCTAAAGTATCATGGAGCAATTATAATGTCTGCTAATTTAGTACAAAATATACCCACACTGTAAAAATCCTGTTAAATGGGCGTGGATGTCTGGATGAGAATGAGCAGGGGTGAAAAGTTATGCTAATGAACTTAATTTTGCTCCAGAGCTGTCTCAGTGATTGATGCCTTTACTGCTTTAATGGCAACTGCATTTCACATGATCGAAAACAGCCATTCCTGATAGTAAGCTCCTACTATTTCCCTAGTCCAGTACTAGGCACGTGGAAGATAAAGTTTCCCCTAAACTTAGAGCTTCAACACCTGAGGTTAGATATGAATAATATTTTTCTCAAGTTATGTTTTGTGCTCTCATCTGAGTTCATGATATTCAATGGTAGAAACACTGGCAAAAGTTCTGCTTTTTATTTCTTATTCCTTCTAGGGAATGGTGCCTATTTACTCATAGAAACTGAAAAGCAGGGTTTTTTCTTTTTTTTAATCTTTTCTTTATTTTTATTTAAATTCCAGGTAGTTAACATACAGTGTTATATTAATTTCAGGTGTACAACATAGTGATTCAACACTTCCATACAACACCTAGTGCTTAATCACAAGTGTACTCCTTAATCCACATCACCTGTTTAACCCATCCTCCTGCCCACCTCCCTTCTGTTTGTTCTCTGTAATTATGAGTGTGTTTCTTGGTTTGCCTCTCTCTTTTTTTCTCCTGTATTCATTTCTTTTATTTCTTAAATTCCACATATGAGTGAAATCATATGGTATTTGTCTTTCTCTGACTGACTGACTTAGCATAATACTTTCGGGCTCCATTCATGTCGTTGTAAATGGCAAGATTCCATTCTATTTCATGGATGAGTAATATTCCATTGTATACACACATGCACACACACACACACATATCTTCTTTAGCCATTCATCAGTCGATGGACACTTGGGCTGCTTCCATGTCTTGGCTATTGTAGACAATGCTGCTATAAACATCGGGGTGCATGTATCCTTTTGACTTAGTATTTTTGTATTCCTAGTGCAATTGATGGATTATTGGGTAGCTCTATTTTTAATATTCTGAGGAACCTCCGTACTGTTTTTCAGAGTAGTTGTATCAGTTTCTTTTCCCACCAACAGTGTATGAGAGTTCCCCTTTCTCTACAGCCTCACCAATACCAGTTGTTTCTTGTGTTGTTGATTTTAGCCATCTGATAGGTGTGAGGTAATATCTCATTGTAGTTTTGATTTGTATTTCCTTGATGATCAGTGATGTTGAGCATCTTTTCATATGTTTGTTGGCCATCTGCATGTCTTCTTTGGAACAATGTCTATTCATGTCTTCTGCCCATTTTTTTAAAGATTTATTTATTTACTTGAGAGAGAGAGCGTGCGAGCAGGGGGAACGACATAGGGAGAGGGAGAGAATCCTCAAGCAGACTCCCCGCTGAGCATAGAGCCCTACGCAGGGCTCAATCCCAGGACCCCAAGATCAGGATCTGGGCCGAAATCAAGAGCTGGACGCTCAACCAACTGAGCCTTCCAGGCACCCCTCCCATTTTTTTTAATTAAAAATTTTTTATTTTTAAGTAATCTCTACACCCAGTGTGGGGCTTGAACTCACAACCCTGAGATCAGGAGTGCACATTCCATGACCAAGCCAGCTAGGTGCCCCTCTTCTGCCCATTTTTAATGGGATTATTTGGTTTTTGGGTGTTGAGTTGAATCAGTTCTTTATATATTTTGGATATTAGTCCTTTATCAGATATGTCATTTGCAAATATCTTCTCCCATTCTGTAGGTTGTCTTTTAGTTTTGTTGATTGTTTCCTTGGCATGCAGAAGCTTTTTATTCTGATGGAGTCCCAATAGTTTATTTTTGCTTTTGTTTCCCTTGCCTCAGGAAACATCTAGAAAGAAGTTGCTATGGCCGATGTCAAAGAGGTTACTGCCTGTGTTCTCTTCTAGGATTTTTATGGTTTCAGGCCTCACATTTAGGTCTTTAGTCCATTTTGAATTTGTTTTTGTGTATGGTGTAAGAAAGTGGTCCACTTTCATTCTTTTGCATGTTGCTGTCCAGTTTTCCCAACAGCATTTGTTGAAGAGACTGTCTTTTTCCCACTGGATATTCTTTCCTGCTTTGTTGAAAATTAATTGACATGTAGTTATTCGTTCATTTCTGGGATTTGTATTCTGTTGATCTGTGTATCTATTTTTGTGCCAGTACCATACTGTTTTGATTACTATAGCTTTGTAATATAACTTGAAGTCTGGAATTGTATACCTCCAGCTTTGCTTTTGTTTTTCAAGATTGCTTTGGCTATTTGGGGTCTTTTGTGGTTTCATTCAAATCTCATGATTGTTTGTGTTAGCTCTGTGAAAAATGCTGTTGGTACTTTGATAAGGATTGCACTAAATGTGTAAATTGCTTTGGGAAGTATAGACATTTTAACAATGTTTGTTCTTCCACTCCATGTGAGCATGGAATGTCTTTCCACTTTGTGGAAAGTTCTTTGTGTTGTCTTCTGTTTTTTTCATCAGTGTTTTATAGTTTTCAGAGTATGGGTCTTTCATCTCTTCGGTTAGATTTATTCCTAGGTATCTTATTTTTGGTGCAATTATAAATAGATATGATTCCTTCATTTTTCTTTCAAAAGCAGTATTATTTTGAAAATGAATAGCAAATCTTTAAATGTCAATGATCATCATTGATTCCCATTGCCTAGGACAAAATCAGGTGCTTAAATAGTCACTGAAATTATTTTTTGAATGAATGTTTGGAAATACTTTTTGTTTAAATGCGTGGTAATGGGTTATTTTGAATAGTAAAATATGTTTTTTTTTCAAGCCTAATATAGATGTGCAAGAGTCTATCAACTTTTTGGAGTCTGAATTTAATAGAGGAATTTCAGACAATTATACTCTAGCTCTTATAACTTATGCGCTGTCATCCGTGGGGAGCCCTAAAGCCAAGGAAGCTTTGAATATGCTGACTTGGAGAGCAGAACAAGAAGGTAATGCATGGGGTCATTTGAGATTGTTAGACTGCTATGCATTATGAAATATACAAATTATGTGAGAAAGTTTTGTAAGCCAGATACGAAGTTGATAACATTTACCTCTTCTGAATGGGATGATAAATGAAATGCAGATGAGATCAGATGAGTCTGACATGGCTGTTTCTGCTCTCCCTGAGTTTTCTAGGGAATTTCAGGGCTTGGGTGTTTCCTTCTTTTAGATATGTTCTGCCCTGTGTTAGTTACCTTTTGAGTTCTTTGATGCTGTTTCTGGTTTCGTGGCCTTGAGTGGTCATTAGGACATGGGGTATGGAGAGACTTGGGTTTTGTTGCTGCTACTTGCTTTTATGAGCTTCAGTTTTCCTAACTATAAAATGGAAATAACACCTAGCAGATGTTCAAAATTTGAACTAAAATGCTGATTAGTGGAAATGCAAATGCCAAAAAATGCTGTTAGTGAGTTGGAGGACTTTTTTTTTAATGGGTTACAACAGGATAAAAAGTACAAGGGTTGCTACTTCCCAAATGGCCTCTATGGTCAGAGATCCAGGTATGTGTGTGTGTGCGTGTGTGTGTGTGTGTGTGTGTGTGAGAGAGAGAGAGAGACAGACAGACATACAGACATAGAGATGGGATGAGTGGGCAGAAATAATTTTAGTTAGTGTCCACCATTTCGAAGCCTTGTTAATTCAAGAAGGGATAAATGTTGAATGTGCTTAGAGATTCCTAAGACTGTAAAAAATATTGCATTATTGTTAGCGGTAGTTTAGATCGAGTTCTTATTCTCTTTACTGCCCGTTGCAGTGCTGGGGACTGAATTGTTGCATGGAGACTGTAGGCCTTGACATTTCTTCTCTGCTTGTCTAAGTGGTAGTTATTTCACATTCCACCTGAGTGTGATCATCATCCAAAGAGTAATATTAGATGTGGGAGGGGGCGCCAACTAAGATGGTCCTCTGGGGGTAGCAGGAATATCTCTCGGAAGATTGTTGAGTTGGCCAGGGTCCTTCATTTTTTTTCCTTGGGGGCTTGGATTTTGAACTTATAACACCAAATTTCAGATAATGAAAAAAAAGGAGAGATTTCCGGGAACATTAGAGCTGGTTCATGGCAGATTCCCAGAACAGGGTTCTTTCTAATGTGTCCTAAAATATTTTTAGGATGGCCTGGTCAGAGAAGTTATGTACATTATCTTCTGGAGTATAGTACGTTTCTCTTTTTTTATAGCTGTTTAGTCTCAAGCCAAATGTGGAATTTCCCTTGGGAAATTATTTTCATCAAAATATCCTCAAATATAAAGAAAAGGATGAAAATTTATAAGTTGTAGTAGTTTGGAAAGTGACCTATAAGTACATGTTTACATGTATGTCTGTGTGAGCATACATATTATTGTATGGCATAAATATATTCATATTTGGAAATATATCTCTCCATATATTTATGCTAGTCAAGTAGGACTTGGACCAGTGTAGGAATATTTAATGGTGTAAAATGTAATTTTTGCTCAATTGGTCAGACTATTATTACTTGTCTTTTGCAGGAGGCATGCAATTCTGGGTGTCATCAGAGTCTAAACTTTCTGAATCCTGGCAGCCACGTTCCCTGGATATTGAAGTTGCGGCTTACGCACTGCTCTCACACTTCCTGCAATATCAGGTGTCTGAGGGAATCCCGATTATGAGGTGGCTCAGCAGGCAAAGAAATAGCTTGGGAGGTTTTGCGTCTACCCAGGTGAGTGATGATAGTTTTTCATTTTTTAAGCTAAATATAGTTTGAATATATATATGTAATTTTTTAAAAGAAGTAGGTGGCTGCTCTTTTCATGACTTCATAAAATTGGCAATTTAAAAATTCAGTCCCTTAGGTCAAAGGTCCAAGTTACTGATTTTAATCTTTTTCTCATCACAGATATAAACATCATATGTGATATGTATATGGAATAAATTAGTTCCCCATCTATATTGGCCATCTTTCATGCATGGTAGAGTAGATACTCAGTTTCAGGCAGCAGGTACTTTCCAAGCCTCTCCTGTACTGTAGGTCAAGGACATTCAAAAATGAATAAAGGAGAGCTCCACTCCCAAGGAAGGTGGATGAATACATAGTGGGTGTCCTAAACATTACTAACTTTAAAGACTCTTTGGTGACCTTGATATATACTTACATGCACACATGTTTTTCTTTCCTCAACAGGACACCATTGTAGCCTTGAAGGCCCTATCTGAATTTGCAGCTCTAATGAACACAGACAGGACAAACATCCAAGTGACTGTGATGGGGACCAGTTCACCAAGTCCTGTAAAGTTTCGGATTGACACACAGAATCGCTTTCTCCTCCAGATGGCAGAGGTGTGGACGAGGGGGTGGTTATTTAAAATTATGTGTGGGTGATCGCTTATTGCTGGAATGCTGTTTTATTTCCATTCTATTGACTTCAACAAAGACTTGTTCCTAGAGCCCTCTAAAGAGACTGGGGGGAAGGAATGCCCTCCTTTGGTTGAGTTTGCTGAGCTGGGGAAGAGAGGAGAGGAGAGGAGGGGATGGGGACTTTGGAAAGATTTGGAAAAGGAGAAAATAGGGGGAAAGGAATGGAACCTGCTGAGTTCCTATTCTTTGCAGGCAGTGTGCCAGATTTCTTTACAGGTGCTATTGCATTTGCTTCTCAAACCAACACTAAGAAAGTATGTACTTTCATCCTCACCATACACATGATAAAATGAGGCTGAGAGAGCTTAAGTAACTTGCTCAAGATCATGTTGCTAGTAACAGTAGAGCTAGGATTTGGACTTATGTTTCAGACCATGTTCTTTCCAGCTGCACCACGTGTCCTCTTAGGAGAATTGATAGAATCTGTAGGAGGATTCTTACTTTAAAATAGAATGAAGGCTTATCGTAGACCCTAACTTTATTCCTGTGGTTAACCTTGTGGGAAGCTGAGAGTGATGGATGAAAGTGATAACTTCAAGGCTGGAAACTGAGGAAGAGGGGTGGTGGCAAAAGAGAAGGAAGTAGTAGTGTGAATCATAGTCCGTGATCATGTGCTGCTGTGTTCACAAGAGTACCAGCAGATTAGGCGCTAAGGGAGATGGGAGGAGTGAGAGGACTTTTGTTTCTTGTGTCTCTTGCTTTCACACCTCTAGAAGGGCAGCCTTACCCCTCTCTCAAAGGGTAGAGATGAGGGTGCGTGGAGAGTGAGCCCTTCCTCTGCCTTCACCTCTCTTACCTGGTTGGCCTATAGCTTTTCACATGTGAGGCTGTGTGACATTCTGAGAGCTTTTCACAGATGGCTTACACTCCTAGTGAGGGGTAACATTGATTTCTTGTGCTAGCCAGAAGGACCTGGATATGGAAGATTAGCCTCATTCACTTTTTCCCCATCTTTATTCAGCTTGCTGTGGTACAGCCAACTGCAGTTAATATTTCCGCAAGTGGTTTTGGATTTGCTATTTGTCAGGTATGTAACAACGTTCATTTTTGTTGAGTTCAATATGACTTGTTATAATAATTCTTTCATTTGGGGTACTGCTAAATCTGTAACAGATAATGTGTAAAATTCTTAAGGATTTCTATCTGTGACTTAGGTAAGATAAATCACTCTCTTTAATAAAAAGTATTAGAGGGGCGCCTGGGTGGCTCAGTTGGTTAAGCGACTGCCTTCGGCTCAGGTCATGATCCTGGAGTCCCGGGATCGAGTCCCGCATCGGGCTCCCTGCTCGGCAGGGAGTCTGCTTCTCCCTCTGACCCCCCTCCCTCTCATGCTCTCTGTCTCTCATTCTCTCTCTCTCTCTCAAATAAATAAATAAATAAATAAATAAATAAATAAATAAATAAAATCTTTAAAAAAAAAAAAAACCCAATGGAGATAAATTACTGAAGCCAAATGAGTTTTACTTGAACTTTGAAGGGCACAGCAGTGAATGTGGTACGTACTGGTCAGAATGCTCACTACTCCAAACCTATATCAACATGCAGAAAACAAAAGGGAGGGACCGATAGGCACTTCTTAGGATGGAGAAACAAATTGCTAACAAGTTGGACACCTGGGAATATGTATTGAGATTCTTTTAGTTGCTATTTTTGTAAGTGCTCTAGATAAAGAAAGGAAAGAAACCTCTCAGGTTTGCAGTAAATGTTAACCCCATTTTAAGTACTGAAATGCTAAGCTCTTGAACATAAATTGCAAGATGTCTCAAAGTTTGCTGAATGAGCAGTTGAGCTTTTTGTGGGTCAAACATTAACCCCAATACTTAGTTATAGATAAGTATTAATTATGACCCAGAGGACAAATCTAGTAGTTCTTGTTTGTTTCCTGATGACGTTGGTCTCTAAAGGACAATTGTATGCCACTGGGAAGGGGATGGTGGAAATAACAGAGACCATCTCTCCAGTTATATGAAACTGTTCTTCACCTCCTCCAAGAATATTCTAAAATTTTAATTGTCATTTAAGAAAGAGTTGGAGGGGCGCCTGGGTGGCTCAGTCGTTAAGCGTCTGCCTTCGGCTCAGGTCATGATCCCAGGGTCCTGGGATCGAGCCCCGAATTGGGCTCCCTGAGCAGCGGGAGGCCTGCTTCTCCCTCTCCCATTCCCCCTGCTTGTGTTCCCTCTCTCACTGTGTCTCTCTCTGTCAAAGAAATGAATAAAAATTAAAAAAAAAAAAAAAGAAAAAAAAGAAAGAGTTGGAGAATATCCAGAGTGAGATAACCAGAATGATCAAGGGGACGTGGGGATTATACGAGCTAGGTATAGCAGAATAAAAAGTTGGAACTCTTAGGTTTGAAAGATGAAGGCTTAGAAAGAAGATTTATTTTTTATTTTTATTTATTTTTTAAAAAGATTTTATTTATTCATTTTAGAGATAGAGAGTGTGTGGGTGGGGGAGCAGCAGGTAAAGGGAGAGGGACAAGCAGACTCCACCCTGAGTACAGAGCCTGAATTGGGGCTTGAGCCCCCATCCCTGAGATCATGACCTAAGCCAAAATCAAGAGTCGGACCCTTAACTGACTGAGCCACCCAAGCGCCTCAGAAAGAGATTTTTTTTAAAGTGTGAAAATCTACAAAGGGCACTAGATGTTTAGTTCTGAGGGGTGTGTGTGTGTGTGATTTAAATATAAGAAAATAGGGTGCCTGGGTGGCTCAGTTGGTTAAGCGACTGCCTTCGGCTCAGGTCATGATCCTGGAGTCCCTGGATCCAGTCCCGCATTGGGCTCCCTGCTCGGCAGGGAGTCTGCTTCTCCCTCTGACCCTCCCACCTCTCATGTACTCCCTCTCTCTCATTCTCTCTCTCTCAAATAAAAATAAATAAAATCTTAAAAAAAAAAATAAATATAAGAAAATACAACATTACATAGCAATAGTAAAGCTTATGAACCATGGTATCAAAAAAGGTGGAAGAAGTAGAGTCCAATTCAACTTGGCCTGAGGCAGGTGTACAAAATTTTGAGTATATTCCCAAGCTTCTGATCTTAGGAACCCTTTGGGAAAAAAACCAACTTATCCTCGCATTTGCCCAGTGTCCCCACAGCACCTTTCACTGGTGGGTAGGCACAGAGTATTTGCTGAAAAAGGCCCAGTTGTCTTGAAATCTGTCATTTATTATCATCTTTTAAAAGTATTGTACAACCGGGCGCCTGGGTGGCTCAGTTGGTTAAGCGACTGTCTTCGCCTCAGGTCATGATCCTGGAGTCCCTGGATCGAGTCCCGCATCGGGCTCACTGCTCGGCAGGGAGTCTACTTCTCCCTCTGACCCTAACCCCTCTCGTGTGCTCTCTCTCATTCTCTCTCTCTCAAATAAATAAATAAATAAAACCTTTAAAAAAAAAAGATAATAAAGGAAGATTGTTTGCAGCTGAGCACTCTGTTTGATGCAAGGATGAATAAGGAAAATGAGATACAAAAATAACTGAAGGGGCACCTGGGTGGCTCAGTCGGTTAAGCGGCTGCCTTCGGCTCAGGTCGTGATCCCTGGGTCCTGGGATCGAGCCCCACATCAGGCTCCCTGCTCAGCGGGGAGTCTGCTTCTCCCTCTGACCCTCCCCCCTCTCATGCTGTCTCTCATTCTCTCTCTCGCAAATAAATAAAATATTAAAAAAAAAAAAAAAGTATTGTACAACCAAAAAGAATGCTGAGCAATTAAACAGGTTTCTGTTCAACCAGGGCTCTTAAATGTTTTAGTTTTGATTTAGCTAACTGAGTTTCTGAGTTTCTAAGGTTCCATTTTGTGAAAAATGATACCAGTTGGGCAGCAGAGCTTAGAAATTAGTGGATGATCTCAAGAAAGAAATAGGCAGTAGTTGCACTTTTTCCCTAAAGGGAATGTTACATTCTTTGGAAAAAAAAAAACAACAATACCTATGAATATCATGAAGGTCTATACCTGTTCTGGAGTATTAACCTAACAATTTTCTCAATTTTAAAAATCATTGCTTATAAGCTTTTATAATATTTGTAAATAATGATACTTTGTTAGCTAGTAAAACTAGTTTTTTTTCTTTTGGTCAAAGATTACAAATCTAGTTGCATTTATCCCGAAGAGAATCTTTACCTAATATTTAGAATATGTAATGATGGCACTTTATTGCTAATAATTGATGACTAGCTTATTATTTATGCTAATTTATTATTTGTTGCAGTTTAATGTGATTTATAATGTGAAAGATTTGGGTTCCCCAAGAAGACGAAGATCTATTCAAGACCAAGAAGCTTTTGATTTAGATGTTGCTGTAAAAGACAATAAAGATGATACCAATCATTTGAATTTGAATGTGTGCACAAGGTTGGTATTGCTTTAAGTCCTTTCTCTCTTTTTAAAATAGATTTGAAGATAGATTTATTTATTTACTTATTTATTTATTTATTTATTTATGAGAGGTGGTGGGGGGGAGAGAGAGAGCACATGTGATGGGGGGAGGGGCAGTGGGAGAGGGAGAGAGAGAACCCTAAGCAAGCTCCATGCCCAACTTGGAGCCTGAGGCGAGGCTTGATCTCATCACCCTGAGATCATGACCTGAGCAGAAATCAAGAGTCAGACGCTTAACCGACTGAGCCACCCAGGTGCCCCAGATTTGGAAATTTATATATATGTAGTTATCCAACTTATATCAATATAAGGAGTTACAGGGGCGCCTGGGTGGCTCAGTTGGTTAAGCATCTGCCTTCGGCTCAGGTCATGATCCCAGAGTCCTGAGCCCCTCATCGGGCTCCTTGCTCAGCAGGGAGCCTGCTTCTCCCTCTCCCTCTGCCCCTGCTGCTTCCCCTACTTGTGCTCTCTCTCTCTGTCAAATAAATAAATAAAATCTTTAAAAAAATATGTAAGGAGTTACATTTAACAAAGATTTCAGTTATTTAATACACTTTAGATTACAAACTAGAAATACTGCTTAATTAAAGTATTTCTCAATGTGTTCAAAATTATTTACAGGTTTTTCTTGTATTTATCGTAACTTTGAATAGAAAAATTTAATAAAATGTAGGTCTTAATTTATGAAAACTTTAAATTAACGAATCATGTTTAATACTCTAAAATTCGTTATTCCTTGATTAGTAATTTTCTGTTAAATAATTATTCCAGGTTTATATTTAACCTTTAGTGTTATGCTTTTAACTTCATAGAACTTCATAAGAAGTTCATAAGACTTCATAAGAATGTGCAAGTTTAGTGAAGAGAATAGTGTTTTTAGACACAGTGAGAATATTTCAGTTTAGAAGGTCTTCACCTTGGATAAATAGGCACTTTTAGCTTCTGGGAGTACTTAATAAGGTGATTCTTTTTTTTTTTTTTTTTTTTAAGATTTTATTTATTTATTTGACAGAGAGAGACACAGCGAGAGAGGGAACACAAGCAGGGGGAGTGGGAGAGGGAGAAGCTGGCTTCCTGCAGAGCAGGGAGCCCGATGCAGGACTCGATCCCAGGACCCTGGGATCATGACCTGAGCTGAAGGCAGTCGCTTAACCAACTGAGCCACCCAGGCGCCCCTTAATAAGGTGATTCTTAAATTTAGTCTGTATCCAAAGCATCTGAGGATCTTGTTAAGTCAAAAGGAAAAGGGGTTCCAACTCAGACCTGCTGACTTAACAGATTCAGAGTCTGTGAAGCTGCCTTCTTCAGCTTTCTTGGTTTTCTAATGCACATACAGGTTTGAGAGCAAATCCTTTAGAAGGTTCTTGAACCAGGAGACTTTATAGTTTCTTCCTTGTCAGTCTGTCCTCTTACCTCTGCATGATTTGCTGTGAAGTTGGGAGTTACTGTGAAGGTACACTGATACTGAGGAGCTGCTGTCTGTTCTTTTTAAATACCCCCTAGTGTTCTGGTTGAACTGGGCTTGTTGGGCTGGAAGTCACTGACATGGTCCTGAGCTGCCAGATGCTCCTCAGGGTCATCGCTGGGTGTTTCTCCAGGTGGCCAACCTTTTTAGCCATCGCTTGAATCCAGTCTCCTCCATTACTGTTACCATCTGTACTATCTTTGGGCCTTCATGTTCATGATTTTGATATAAAATGTCACCTGTGTTTGTCCCATTTGTTCCCTTCCTGGGCATTTTGGACCCACAGCAGGGGGATAGCAGGATTCCTTCAGTGGCTTCCTTTTTAGCTGAGAAGAAAGTAGGACTCCCACTCTTCTTTATGAAGCTTATAATTGGGTTCTTTTCTAAAATAACAGCATCAAGTTATTATTATTGCAAGTTAATAAGCTACATTTATCACAAACTTATATGCTGGGCACTTTCACATGCATCTCATTTAATTGTTACAATAACTCTATAAAGTAGGTGGTATTATTATCCCTGCTTTTGTCATGCTCTCATTCATTCATTCAGTAAATATCAGTTGAGTCTCCATTATGTGCCAAGCCACAGTGTCAGATGTTAGAATATAACGGTGATCTAAAAAAGATACAGGTCCTGTCTTCATGGAACTTACTGTTTGGAGGGGAGACAGAGAGAAATTAATAAAAATAAGTCTTCTAAATAAGTCTAAAATTCTAGTTTTGAAATCGGCAAAGAAGAAAAGTCTTTGGAGCTATGAGAGGGATTTTACCTCTTAGGGAGGTCAGTTGAAGAAACAGATGAGGAAAATTAGGTGAAACCAGGATTCAGATCGGGATGGGGTATTATTACTTACACGGGCTCATGAAAGGATGCGGGATTCCAAATCTTAACCTGTCATCAGGAATCAGATGGGTGATAGACTTTGATAGATAGAGGATATATATCTTTTTTCCCTTCTTTGGGGAGAAACTAGAGAAGGGAAGTGTTTTCATGTGAGAGTAGCGGTTGGTAAAAAGGACTTGGATGTTGCTACTAGTCTTCTGAGAAAAATCTGGTATGAATACAAGTAAAATTTTCAGTGAAATTTTTCAGTGGCACTTAATAAAAAGAAAAAATTGATATTTTAGGCGCTTTATTCCCATCTGTAGGGTCCAAGCCCTTACTCACCTCAGACGAGGTTTTCTGTGTGTGGCGTGGGCATTTAACAAATTCTGCCCTGGGCTGGTAGAAAGACCAGGTCAACCAAGGCACTTTGGATGGTGTCCCAAAAGTCATCATATTGAAGCAGATTGGCTGTTCTTCTCCTCTTTAATGTTTGCCCTGACACAAACACCTCGAGCTGCAATGCACTTATTAGTTTTCAGCAACATCTCTCTTGGCCGAGTGTATCACTCTGCAGATGGTTTCACTTGTTTGCGATTGCTGAGCCAGATGTCGTCGGCAGTTGGACTGTGTGGCTCTTTAGTCAGTCGTGTTTGGCAGCCTTTGGTTTGCCGCTCTCAGAAGCGAGATTCTCTACCAGCCCTTCTTGCTTTTGCCATCTGAAAGGACAACAGGAACTCACGTAACAGTGCTCCGATCCTTTCACGTTGTAGGCAGACTTCTTTCCATAACCACACTGGGCTCTTTCTGCTCCAAACAAAAAGCTCTTGCCACCTCTTCATTGTAGAAAACTGTTTATTTTAAAGGAGATGAAATGCCCTTGGTGTGCAGATCCTTTGATGCTCACGTTGTGCACAACAGGGTGCGTGAACAAGGTAGTGTCACAGAATTTTCCAAGGCTTGGGATTCTCGCCAGGTGGCCACAGAAAACACAAAATGTGCTCTGAGTACATTTTGGAGAACAAAGGGAAGGACTCTCCCTACTGGTCTTCTTTTTCTAAAACCAGATGAAGAGAAGATTGCTAAAGACTTGGCGGTGGTCTCCTGCTTAAGTGGTCAAGTTTTCAGTTTCTTTTTCAGTTCCTGGCTTTCAGCTGGAAAGCTCAGGGCTGTCAACTTCTGAGAAAATGAAAAATGCGATTCAGTTTGGAACCACCCCTAGTACACAGCGTTGCCCACTGAAAGGGCATCCAGGTTGTACTTGTTACAAATCTGTGGGCACAAGGCTGACACATTGTAGGCGTTTCATGTCAAGTGAATGCATTGTTAAATCATTATTCCTCATATGGTCGAAATTATAAGAATTTCATACCTGTAAGGAGAGGATTACCCGTTTTGTAATAATTTCCTATGAGACTGTTTACTTCAACTAAGCAGTAAGTGTTTAGAATAACACTTGGCAGTTTTAATTTTCCTGTGAAGAGAGTTTGCCTACAGCTTTAGGTTTTTCCTAAAGGGTGTTCTTCCTTCCATCCTTTCCTCTTTGCTGTAGGTTTTTGGGCCCGGCTAGAAGCGGCATGGCCCTTATGGAAGTGAACCTCCTCAGTGGTTTCACCTTGCCTTCCGATGCAATTCCTCTGAGCGAGACTGTGAGGAAAGTAGAACATGATCATGGAAAAGTCAACTTATATTTAGATTCTGTAAGTTGTAAGACGTAAGTTTCACGTAAGTGACTGGTGACAAAATGCCATTTATTGTCTTGGAAAGTCTGCCTTACTCTGGGCCTATTTACTTTGTCTTTATTTCAGCTTTTTGTGTCCCCGAATGACCCTAACAGGGCAACCTTATGTTTATCCCCACTAAAAAGACATCACTGTAAAATCAACTTAAAGAGAATACTGTTAATGATGAGCCTGATGAAAGTCTTGATAACTAAATCAGTATTTCATGCCAGATGTATAAACTATGTAGAAACTGTAACATTGTAATTTCAGAAATTTGGTCCAGGTCTCAGTTTGAGAACTGCTCTGCCTCAGGGAATTGCTAAAATTATCTTTTTTTTTTTTTTTAAATTTATTTGTTTGAGAGAGAGAGAGCACAGGCAGGGGGAGCTGCAGGCAGAGGGAGAAGCAGGTTCCCCACTGAGCAGGGAGCCCGACGCGGGGCTCGATTCCAGGACCCTGAGATCATGACCTGAGCCGAAGGCAGATGCTTAACCGACTGAGCCACCCAGGCATCCCTAAAATTATCTCTTTAAATGCTGATGATAAAAGCTTTAATTACAAGTTTTAAAATGCTTTCATGGAATTTTTAATAAATCCCAAAGGGGTTAATATTTTTCCAATGAATATATTAGGTGCTTAAATCATAGAAGAATATTCTCAGAGGTTTGATTATTATATAATTTTCATATAATCTTCTCATTGTTTTATGAAAATTACTGATCCAAGAATAAGGTGCATAAAATATGTGAGAGAAACGTAAGTGAAGAATTCGACTGTACTTGTTATGTCCCAAAACTGTTGGCATATAATTTATTCTTTTTTTCTAACATCTATATGAAACTCTTAGATTGAATCGAATTGAGTTCTAAGTGTTCTTAGGATTTCATAGTATGTTGAGGGAATTCCCTATGTTTCTTATTCTAGTTTTGCCAAGTATGAATCAGAAATATATTGCCTTAGCAATATATATATATACTTTAAGAAAACTAGTTCCTGGATGTTCTCATTTGTTTTAAGACTTTAAAAACCCTCTGGCCAAAACCCTGTTAAAACTCATCCAAAGTCTCTAGCTTCTTTTTCAGTTCAAGAGTTTTCATTTATGACATACCGCTTGAATACCATGGGCTTGATTTGGAACATGAAAAACAAGTTTAAGGTTTTTATTTAATAATGCAATTGGGTTTTGGAGTTTGTCCTGTATCTATGATGTACATTTATTTATTTATTTATGTGATGTACTTGTTAATGGTTATCTAAATTCGAGTGTTCAGTATGTTCTGACTGATTAATTTGACTTTTCATTTACTACTATTGGCAAGTAATGGAATATTTGAAGGCATTTATCAATTTCAGATTACTTTAACAATATTGGTTGCCACATTGGCCCCTCCTGGAGGCAAGGAGCTGGCCTTTTGTACCCCAAATCAGTTTTTGGTTGGGGGTGCAACCCCCACCTGGGGTTACCTCACTTACCAGGTGAGGTTGCTCCCGTGAGCTTTGAGTTCTTCAAAGAAGGGGGCTGTCGTGAGCTATCAGCAGCAACCGAGGTGGGCACCTTGTGTGAAATGGGGACTGAGTGAAGCACCAGGGCTCAGGAACATGCATCCTTGGACTTGCTGCTTACTTAACCCCTCTGATTCTCAGTATTGCTTTTGGTAAAATGGAAGCGACAACAGTATCTTTCTTGTAAGAATTGTTTTACCTGTTAAATGAGATAATTTATATAAAGTGCTTACCATAACATGGGGCATGTAGAAATCCTCCCTAAATATTAGTTTCTATCTGTTTTCTAAAATGATAAGAAAAAGAAATGTCTTTTGCTTTATCGTGAACACATTGTCTGTCACCCACCTTAGGAGTTTTTTGTATTTTTCAAGGTAAACGAAACCCAGATTTGTGTGGATATTCCTGCTGTGAGAAACTTTAAAGTTTCCAATACACAAGATGCTTTGGTGTCCATCATGGATTACTATGAACCAAGTAAGTGTGTTCTAGAGTTTTTAACACTTTAGAAGTTAAGCCAAGCCTTCATTCATTTTATTCATTCATTCATTTATTTGCAGTGGCCACCTGTCTTGTGTGTGGGGAGGGTTGTTGGGGAGAGTGTAGGAAGTGGGGTGTAGGAGATGAGCTTTCCACTTAAATGAAGACAATAATTTTAAAAAGTCCCGTGATAGCATTGAGCAGATGAATACAAAAAAGTTATGTTTTTCCTAATAATTTTAGGTTTTTCTTCATGTTTTAGGTTTTTAATTCACAATTACAAAATTTACAAAGAAAAACTGACATAACTGTGAGTCTAGTTATGTGTAGTATCCAAGGTTTTGCTTCTGTTCCAACCATCCCTTCCATCTGTTTTGTTTTAAAATGGGATTTCTTCAGGAGAGAACATGAGGCTCATTTGCAGTGTAAAAGACTGGGATGGGTTTAGCGGAGTCTGTTATCTTGCTAAAATTTATACATTATAGCAGTTTTTTTGTTTAGCAGATCAAGAAAAATATAGTCTGTTTGGAAAATAACTTGAGCTTCTTTGATTTTACTTGTCACTTCTTACTTGATAAAATATTAAAAATTTAGGATGTGAAAGCAGAGATCTGGTTTGTAGATCACCCAAGTTAGTTAGGACTACTCTACACTCAGTCACAGAGTGACGTTCTGTGAGTGTATGATCTCCATAATTGTAATAAGTCTTATTCTGAGTGCATACTCCTGATGGCTGAGAATCATCAGAATGCATGAGAATCGTTAACGTTTTGATGTGTTTGGGAGTTGGAGATAATTACACTCTAAAGTAAAATGAACTTGTTCATGTTGTCAGTAATGTTCAATAGAGTATCATTGAAGATGAAGGTTAAGAACACCAGTTCTTTCTCCTGAGTCAACAAGCCAGTTCCTCTCATCTGCCTCCTGGTGGAATTGGGGAAGAGCATTTGCCGAGGTTCTTGTGGGAGGTTTGGGGGAAACACTGAGGGTGGCCCTTCTTTTCTGTGGAAGGATGGGATACATGGTGGAGACTCAATGGTAGCGCCCAGTTATCCAACTTTGGAATTGAAACTAGTTGTGAAATTCTCCAATTGATGTTTTTTCAGCAAATGGAGAATATTTTAAACATTCAAGAAACAAAGATTAAGTCTATGTACATTTTTTTGTGGCAAGCAACTTATTTAGGAGGGGGACATTTTCTTTTTTTTTTTTTTTAAGATTTTATTTATTTATTTGAGAGAGAGAATGAGAGAGAGCGAGTACGAGAAGGGGGAGGGTCAGAGGGAGAAGCAGACTCCCTGCTGAGCAGGGAGCCCCATGTGGGACTCGATCCCGGGACTCCAGGATCATGACCTGAGCCGAAGGCAGTCGCTTAACCAACTGAGCCACCCAGGCACCCCAGGAGGGGGACATTTTCAAATGAAAATACGGGAGAGGTCAGAAATAATAAAAACCTTACCAACCCGGTTTTGAAGATCCTACGATTAAAGAATATATGATAATAAACAATATTTAAAAATAAAATGAAGTTAAAAAATCATGAAGAAATTTGAAAATAGAACGTGTTTTTAAAAATTGTAAAAATAAAAATCTTTTCTGTTGTATGGTAGGTTTACTATAGTGCTGTAGGTACTTTATATAGTTTTTAAAAAATACTAGCTTATGCTATAAAATTTGCCCCCAAATATTAGCTTATACAGTAAAATTAGATGCTATATGCTCAACATTTTAAAACATTGAGACACATTACAAAGGCAAGCTTCTCTTTGTGTTTTTGTAGTTTTTAATCAAGCCCACAGTAAATCTCTTTTCAGGAGTTCTAATGGGCTTTGCTTGAATGCATAGAAAATGATACTCGAAAATAAACTATCAAGGAGCTTCAACAAGCCTCCATTTCAAGTCTTTCCTGTTCCAGGAAGAGAGTCGAGTGTGCTTGGGGTTGCAGTGAGCAGCTGCGGTCTGCTCCCCGCTTCCTGCTCCCCCCTCCTTGGGGTTGCAGCGATGGCCAGCTGCGGGCGGGGGCCACAGTGCGGGGAAGGCGTTGTTCTTCTCGTGGATTTGGTTAGCCGCGTGGGCCCCTCCTGAGCATTTCAGTTGTTTCTTGTAAAGAAAAATAAAACTGTGTGAAGAATGGAAAACTCTGAGACATGTACTGAAGCGGTCTTAAGGTTTGGCGGAGTAAATGTTTCTCAACAAGGGATCCGTGTAAACTGATGTCTGCCTCTGCACAGGGAGACAAGCGGTGAGGAGTTACAACTCGGAAGTGAAGCTGTCCTCTTGCGACCTCTGTGGGGACGTCCGCGGATGTGGGCCTTGCGAGAGAGGAGCTACAGCTTCCCTTTACCCCGCTCCAGTCACGCTGGGGCTCGGTGTCACACTGCTGTTCCCTTTGCAGGGCTGGCTGTGATTCCTTTTTTCAGGACTCCATGTAACATCGACATTTCCAGAAGTCACACGTCTTGTTTTCATGCTCAAGTATCACTTCTGTTTTTGAAAAATGATTTTTTTTCTCTTTATGGGGTTGTGGGGGATGGTGCACAAACAGGTCCTAGGACGTACAGGTGCACAGATGTCTTCACCTGACTTCTGTGTAGAACAGAAAATCAGAGTTCTGCAGTCGTGCGTCTTTATTCTCCCCCTCTTAAAAATCGTTCAGGAGTGTTTCATGAAGGCGTTGTTTTCCCCAGAATAAATGTGTTATTTTAGATTATTCTTTTTATTTTCCAGAAGAAATGAACCTAGGTTCTTAAGCATTACTATACACCAGTGTTGGCTTTAGCATTAAAGACAGATGTTTGGGAACTGGGAGAAAGCAACCAGAAGGAGGAGCTTGCTCTGTTCCCTTCCCCCATCCACCCACCCCTGCCCTCTGCCCCGCCTCACCCCCAGTGGTCTCAGTATATCCTTCTTAATTGGATAGCACTTCTTCCTTTTTAGTCGGGGTGATTTTTTTTTTTTTAAAGTGAAGTGGTGTTTTTTTTTTTTTCACTCCAATTATAATCTCATCCCCCAACCTTTACCCTTCCTGTTTTTCTTCTGGAGAGAAGGAGAGAGGGAATGTGTCATTCAGAGCTTGAGGAGTGTACAGAAAACTGCCCTAAGGAGGAGTCCTGGGTGCACTGCCCTCCCTCTCACTTCCTCAGCCCCACACATTGGCTCTGGTTCAGGGATGCGAGTCAGAGGGCATGGCAGTATGTGCCTTGGGTGATTTAGACTAGAAGATCCTAGGCCAGAAGATGCAGCTTTGTTGGTAACGGGGGACGATTAACCAGGGCACAACAAGATCCTGTCGAAGACCGGACGTGGCAGGCTGACCTCCCTGTGGTCTGGCAAAGAAGCTGGGGCTTGACAGGGACCGAGAGAGGTAAACCTGACTGCTGACCTCAAGTATGGTAGGGGGTTGCCCGGGGTCCTGTAGAAGCTTTCCTAGACTCAGGTGTCTGAGTACAGAGAGCCAGCTGTCTGGTGACATCTAATGCTTGTGTGAATCTTTAAGATATCTGAACTTTGAGCACCTGGATAAATGGTTACCCTGTATTCTGAAGGGTAATATTCATTTATCTGGGTGAAATTTTTAAGAAAATTTTAAAGAAAAATTCCTTTCCTTCCACCTCCCTCCTTTTCCTCCTTTCTCTCTTCTTTTTTCTTTCTTTCTTTCTTTCTTTCTTTCTTTCTTTCTTTCTTTCTTTCTTTCTTTCTTTCTTTCTTTCTTTCTTTCTTTCTTTCTTTCTTTCTTTCTTTCTTTCTTTCTTTCTTTCTTTCTTTCTTTCTTTCTTTCTTTCTTTCTTCCCTTCCTTCTTCCTTTCTTTCTTTCTTTCTTTCTTTCTTCCCTTCCTTCTTCCTTTCTTCTTTTCCTTCTAAATACATTGAAATATTTTAGATATATCAAAAATAAACTAAAGATCTCTTACTAAATCTAGAAATGGTTTAATTTTTGCTCCTTAATTCCATTACACTTCTCTCAAGTGAACATGGAAAAAATAATTCCCATGAGCTCCAAAAAGTCTGCATTACAGTATTTAAACTGTTTAAAAAAATAAATCCATCAAAAATAAGGGATGCAAATAATATCTTTTAAAGTTAAATTTTAAAACTTTTTTTTTCTTATCTTAGTGAATTTTAAGAAATTATAGTGGAGTGGGTGTTCATATATTGCTTTTGGATATTTTGAATACCAAGGGAGGAGTTACCAACATTCGGTGTTATAAAGCTTGAAACCTAGATGTAGAAAATAGATCCTCAGAGAGTGGTATGGAGAGGGAGAAGTTAAATATCAAATAAATAATCTTTTTTATTTACTTTTAAGCGGGTATAAGTTTGTAGTTCTGTTATACCTTTGAAACAGTCTGATCGAAAAATAGCATTTGTTACGTTTGGGCCTTCAGGTATGGTATTTTCGGCCTTTATATCCTAGGACTTCTTTCTAGGAAAATATTTTCTGATGAAGTTGGGGGAGGGTGTTGACAAAGGGTGTCCTCCTCGCCTGCCTTGCCCAGGGAACCTTATACCGACCATTGGTACCTTATATTCTTCAGTAAATAACTTATATACTGAACTGCTAGTGGAGTATATTGGGAAACACTAGAATGGAAAGGTCAGTGGAAGATAGCTTGTATCTTTCTTAGGCCATATTTCCTCATTTAAAAACTAGAACTCTAATACTTTTTTGTGAAGTACTTTAGGTTTTCAGATTAACAAGTCATCTTGTAACTCTTCTTGTAATGCATCTCTTTTTATTATACATTTCTTAAAAGTGGAGAAGAAGGAGGTGGAGGAGGAGGAGAAAGTCAGTCGGCTATGCTTCATGGGGCATGGGCTGTGGGGATGCCTTGTCTTCATCCTCCTGCATATCCTTCATATCTTTCTTGGAGAACTGGCTTTGTTACCAGCAGTGGGGTTGCATTAAAAGTGATTAAAAAGCCACAGGCAGAAGGGAAAAGGAAGACATGTAGTAGTAATAATAGTAGAGACTATTTTCTTTTCTGCATATGCTATGAATAATAGTATTAAAAAACCTCATTTTACCTTTAAGTTTGCTCATGCTGAGATTCTTCCATTAGAATGCCATCCATTTCATTTCCTGAGATAAACTAATTTGAAATCTACCCTTTTCTTTCACCGAGTGGGAACCTTATTAAGACACCAGCGTCTACCACTTGCAGTTTTGACTGGCCAGTGGTTCCAGAGACTGAATCACTAGTAGCCAAACAATTCAAAGACAGAACAACACTTTTATATTTGGTTTCCCCGCCTACTACATTCAGTTAGAATTCTAAAAAAGATATGAAGGCAACTAACGATTTGTTTGCTGTATCTATGAGTTCAGAAAAAAACATGCCCGGTGAACGAAATGCTTTTTTTTTAATTGTATTACTCTATTGTACTTTATGTTTTTCAAAACACTGTAACAGTAGTATCTTTGGTTTAGTATTTTGGGTATAGTATAATCTGAGGAGTGTTGTGCTAATATGAAATCCAGATATACATCTATTACTTAACAACTTGTTACTTTAAATATGCAATATCATATTCTACACATGGGGATTTTCAGAATTGTAGATAGCATAGTTCTCCCTGCTCCCATCCTTTTGAGCCTGGGTATAGTTATTTTTTTAAAAACTTATTATTTAGCCCTAATTTCTCTTTATGTAAAATATAGTTATAAATAGTCTGGCAATATAATACCAATATCTTTGATATAATTCAATTATTTAATTCAACATTTCTGGCTGTCCGATGACATTTAAAGAAAATTAGAGCTATCATTTTTCTTTGTCATTTTTAGAACAAGGTAGTTTATTAACCTGCTGGCCTATCATCTGGAGTTTTTTGTAACAGCCTTACTCTTTGTTCATTTGCTCTATTGAAGTTTAGTACTGATTTCTGTAGAAATACGTTGTACATACCTACTTGACAAGGTTTCTTAAGGTGAAGACAGTACTTATTCGAGTTTGCCGAGTGGCAAACCATGGGTCCAGATGCCATTATAGATTCTTGGGGGCATCATTTTCTTGCACAGTAGAAGTCTGAGACACTTATAGTAAGTGAACTTGCTCTTGGGTTAACTTCAGAACCTATTCTACTCTTGGTAGAGGCTTCTGTTAGACAGAAGAGTATATTCCTTATTTTCCTTTGTTTTCAGACTCCAATAAAGCATAGCACTTCTAAGAACTTAAAAATTTCATATCATCTATCAAATGATATTTATGTTAATAGGAAATATCTTAAGTTACATTGGGAGTAATCTGAGGTGCAATTATTTTTATCACTGCTTTGAATAGAGGACTGTTATCCTACTTTCTTCCAGAAACTAAGCAGTAAATATACATTTTTAATGAAGTATGCATTAGTGAGAGTAGGCTTGTTTCAAAACTATTTCTAGCCAGTGTATTTTCGTCTGCCTCATCAAAACACAGTGCCACATTGTATCATTCCATAAAATGTCATTTTCATTTCAGTTATTGTCACCCAGGAAAATAGATAGTTTGTAGATGATTTCTGAGATTTTCACTTCAAAGGACACTTACACATTGGTATGTGCATATCTCTGTAATAAGGATGAATGAGATTGATAGACGTGTGGCTTCATATTTAAGAATAATTTTATCTCACATTGTCATGAGGCTACGATTTACCACTCTTCTGCCCAGTGCATTGAATTCGTGGTAGAGGGTAGTGACATGTTCCATTTGTAGATCTTTACGATTTATCTTTGATAGCTTCAGTAGAATGTGGCTCTATTTTGGTCCTTCCTAGCTTTCCGTTTTGGATTTTAGTAGGGTACAGCTGATTTGGTAGAGTCAATTTATTTTCTACACAGGAAGCTTTATAAAATTTTATTCATGAATCCCCTATTTTAAGAATCTCTTCTGCATATGAGAAGAATACTGTTGAAATAAAGTATTATTTTCCCCCAGATTAAAGCATTATATGTTGATCAAAGTGATTCTGAAAGTTTAAATTTTAAATGTTAGAATGTTATGTTATTGTTAATTGTATTCTGTTATATATTCAGTAGGAAATCCTGGTTCATCAATAAAAATTAAAACTCCCGTCTATTATTATCCGTGTTCTTTTTATTTTAGTTTCAGTGACATCTATAGCACATCCCCTTTACCTACACATATTTAATTGTGAGAAATGGGATTGTTGGAGAGTGGGTTTATTGTGTTACAGGAGTTTGACATGAGTGAGGTGGAAGGAACAACCACCAACCTGCTTCACCTCCCTCCTTATGCTTTGCTTTTTGGGTCGGAGTGGGGTCTGTGGAGAGGTAAGTGACGTACGAGCAAAAAATGGAGGTGAGGACTCACTCACTCAACTTGTAGAAATTACATAGAACGCACAGTTCGTGTACACAGGAAAATGGGGGCGTGGATTGTTGTCTCTGGGTGGGTCCCTTTGAGTCTGAGGTCATCTCTAATTCTCACGATGGACTAGAGGTGGTGCTTGGCTTGGCGGCTTTTGGATTCTCTTCTTCCTGCTACAGCTTGGGTCATCATTTCTGCTAAGGTGATCTACAAATGGACCTTAAAGAAGGTTCAAGTAACAATTTATTTGAGTCACTAGTGATAACTCCAGATTAAGCAGATTCAGAGATGGGGGTATTGTGCCCCTTGATCTAGTCACACTGCACAGCCACGTGAGACATCGCCCCCAGACTTTTGCAGCGTCCTCACTAGGGACACTGTCAGCAAGGAAGTAGTGGGTGGATTCCCGCAGCTTTCTCTCGGCCCTCTCCCCTCCCCCCACTTTTATCTCTGTTCTTCATCCTGAAGCTCCCACCTTCTCCAGTTCTCCTCTCAGAAGTCTGCAAGTACTAAGGCTTCCCTCCTGTCTTCAGTTTTCTCTTGGTGTCGTGTGAGCAGCCAGCCAAAGCTTTCTGTCCTCTGTCTGTTCTGCCGCTGGGTCAGGTCCCTAGAGTGGAGGAGTGATGAAAACCCTTTGGATGATTCTCCACTCTGATTGGTAGTTGGCTTTTACTCTCTTTTGTGTTACCCTGGTGATCTAAAAGGTCAGACAACTGCATGAATTCAGGATGAGGGAGACATTAGACGGCAGAATACACGAACACGACTTGATCGTTAAGCAAAGTATGAGTCCGTGACCAGAGAGCCAATGCCTCCAGTTGCTCAATAAGGGAGGTATTGGTTCTGGTGTAGCCTGCACGTTTCAGGGTGTTGTACTCAGTACTGAGGTCACAGTCTAAGAAGGTAAGACCACCTGTAGTCCATATGGGGCGGAGTGGCCCTAACAGTGTCGGGATGAAACCTCATAGGGTGTGGGGATGCTCAGCTGGTGAAAGAATGTGGACTCAACACTTTATTTAAATATCTGAAAGGCTGTCACCTGCAAGCTCACATTGCAGAATTGTTGCAAGTGGGTAGATTCTGGCACAACGTTGGGAGGAATTAAATAGAACCTCCTTATTTCAGAAGACAGTGACTGCATGGTCCCTACGGGGGTTTTGGCAGATGCTGATCACTAATGGTGGACATTCTAAAATGGTATAGGATCCATTACTTTTTTTGTACTGAGTGTTAAAAATGGTTAAGAATCAAGAGGTTTTCTAGTTTAGTTCTCGTTATAGATTGAATTATGTTCCCCAAAAAAGAACGTTGAAATCCTAACCCTCAGTACCTCCTAATGTGACCTTATTTGGAAATAGGATTGTAGCAGATGTAATTAGGTAAGATAAGATCACACTAGAGGAGGGAGGCCTCTTATACTAGTATGACTGGTGTCCTTACAAGATAAGATGGCCAGGGGAAGACAGACACACTGGGAGAATGCCATATGACGACAAAAGCAGAGATTGGATTTATGCAGCCACAAGGCAATGAATGCCCAAGGTTGCCAGCAAACCATTAGAAGCTAGGAAGGGCACGGAAGGATTTCCGGCGAGCACGGCCCTGCGGACACCTGGATTTCAGACTTCCAGCATCCAGAACTGTGAGACAATACATTTCTGTTGTTTTAAACCATCCAGTTTGTGATGCTTTGTTACAGCAGTTGTAGACTGATGTGGCTCCCCCATATTACTAAGACCCAGGGGGGTTAAGTGCCTTACCCATGTTCTATAGCTTTTTTCCCCCTCCACAACTTTTCAAGAGCAAAACTGGGACTTCTACCTAGCGAGTAGCAGGCACTAAATAAATACTGTGGCATGAATTAACCCACTGCTTTGAGTTTGGATTCTACTATGGTGATGGCTTTCCTAGCTCCTGCTTCCTTCCCATGGGTTCAGTGCTGATGGCTAAGCCCCCAACGTTTACCCTCTGCGCTTGGCATTCCTCCCTCCGTGCCTTCACTCACAGGTGGGAGGGCTGGAATTGCCAACCATTCTAGGTGAATTTGCGGTCTTCTTTATGAACCCTTATGGCAGTCATGGGCAATAGATTGCCTCCTGAATATCAGCTGACATGGTTGGGAAATGACTGCCCACAGGGATTCTACAGGGATTTTGAGGCCACTTCTGAACCCCATGGGAACAAGACCTAGATTTAGCTGTGAATATCGACATGGAGGAGGCAGGGCCAGGTGGTGGCACTTGAGCTGGGAATTTGCCATTCCTGATTTAGGGACTGTAATGCACAATGTAGCATTTAATTACATTGTCCTGCACTGTGAACTAATTGCTTTTATTGGTACTGGTCTTGATTCACTTACTACATTTTGAACCTTAATTTTTAGAATTTTCTACCCCATACCGTAGACTGTCTATGTATATCTGATGTGTCTGTCGTCTACCTCTATCGCCATATTTATAGATAAATGCTATCTGATGTACTTGGTACATTCTGTAGGGTCTGAACTGTAGATTTATATAGAACAGAAACAAAAACAAATACAATAATAAAGTTACACAATAAAGGTCCTGGCATTCTAAACAAGTGAGAATGGACAATGTATTTGTTTCTTAAAGGCTTTGATTTTCCAGGTTTAGTAGTTTTTCTTTTTTCTCTGCAAGTTATAGATTTTGTTTTCTTAGGAATTAGTTAACAGATACTGAAGAAGATAATTTGGTAAATTGGGCAAGTAAAAGCTCATGGTTTGAAGGTTTTAATTTTTCTCATTTATATTAAAGAAGCATACTGGATTTTTTCCTCCATTCTTGGGAAATTTAAACCAGTTCTGTGTCATTTTTCTCAGTACCTCCGGAAAGTCCTGTGCTCACTTCTCATGTCCCCCTCATCTTTTCTCTACTCCATGTATCAGAAGAAATGAGAAGCAGGTTCCTTGAAGGGCAGGGATTACGCCTTACTTAGTTTTTAATTGTCAGCATTTATACAGTTTGGCAAATAGTACAGACTCAATATGGTAGATAACAAAAAATTAACTTTTTTGGGGAATGAAGAGAATATTACTTATTTTTTGGGCCCATTCATTGCCTGATTTCCTCCAGAACCTCCATGAATTTGCTTAGATACCAAATGTTCTGGTCACCAATTCCAACATGTGTGTCAGGAGTTCCTCCACACCACCAAGCAATTCTGGGACAGTCGCTGGGTGTCCAGAGCTCAATTCAATTCTGACAGAAATAGCGTCAGACTGCATGGGTTCCCGCTTCATTCCTTCATTCCCACCAGACTATCCCTGTCCTTCAAATGCCAGTGGCTGGTCTAAGCCCTGGCTGTTTCCTGTATTTGTGACAGGCTACAAATTGGAGGCTCCCACAACCCCCTTCTTGGGTTCAATTAATTGGTTAGAGAGGCTCGCCAAACTCAGAAAACCTGTTTACTTACTAGAGCACTGGTTTATTAGACAAGGTTTATTATAAAACTCAGGAAAGCCAGATGGAGGGGATGCATAGGGCCAGATACGGGGAAACGGCGTGGAGCTGCCATGCCTTCCCCGGGCCTGCCCACTCTCCCAGCACCTATGTGGGTTCCCTAACCTGGCAGCTCTCAGAACCTCAGCCTTTTGGGTTTTTATGGAGGTTTTATTACATAGGCATGATTGATTAAGTCATTGACCATTGGTGTGATTGAACTCAATCTCCAGCCCCCTCCTCACCTCCCGCAGGTAGGGGGTAGGAGTGGGAATGAAAGTTCCCATGAGTGCTTTCCCTTCAGAAAGTTCTCCAATCAGTGCTTGATTCCACGGGCAACCAACCAGGCCCCATTGCTCAGTGCGCTAAAGGGCACTTATTAACATAACAGAAGACACCTCTCTCACTCTCACCACTTAAGAATTTCCAAGCGTTTGGGGAGCCCAGGAGCCAGGAACTGTGGACAAAGATAAAATATCTATTTTTCTTATAAATCACAGTATCCCAGCTACGAGTTACAAGGAACAGTATTATTTCACACCCGTGCTTTGTCTCTCACGGCATTTAACACTACCTTTGATACTGTAGATACTCAGAAATGTTTAACTGAATAATAGAATTTGAAGAACCTCCAGTTAAGGATTTTTCCACATGAATAAATAAAAGACACAGGCCTAGAGATAGAGGAAGTAAAGAGGGAAAAGAATAGAAAGAAAGAAATATAGGAGATGGAGAAATGAGGAATAGTTCTAGGTATAACCATTATTTGACTTACTAAATTTCAGTTTTGGGGATTTGGAGAGTTTTGGCAGATTCCCAAGTACTGTAAACATTGAAGTCATGTGTTTTAAGTGCTGAGTAAAAAGTTAACCTTAATTTATAAAGTGATGAGTAACTGTGGCTCTGTGTGTTATTGCATTATCTAATTTCTGGCTGTCCTCATGCAGGCGTGCAGGAGGAAGAAGCTTTCGATTCTTCTAAACAAGTGAGAATGAATATATTAAAATAAGATCTATGAAAGAATAGTAATCATGCCTCCTTATTAGAAGAATTTTTAAAAATCTTGAGGCTCTCACATATTAAAACCTCTGTCCCTGTCAACTCTATCTCTTCTGTCCCAGCCAAACCTTCTTGAGATAATTCTCTATATTTATTATCTACACTTTGTAATTTTGTATCCATTCTTCAAACTACTGAAACCTGGTCCTACTCTATAAAAGATACTCTAAATAAATGGATCTGCTCTCTTCTCTGCATCTAATGAATATTTTCTTTCCTTCTCTTC